ATCTCTTTTGAATGAGATTGGGGTGAAAGCAAAGGAACCTATGATGTTATACTGTGACAATCAGGTTGCAATCAATATTGCCCACAATCCAATTCAGCATGATARGACAAAACACATTGAAGTTGATAGACACTTTATAAGAGAAAGGGTAAMAACCAGAGAAGTTTGTTTGCCTTATGTCTCTTCAGAGTTGCAACTGGCTGATGTTCTCACTAAAGGGGTGGCAAGGAACAAGCTGGAACATGATCTACGCAAGTTGGGAATGTGTGACGTTTACTCCCAACTTGAGGGGGAGTATTGAAGATTAATTAGTTTTATGATGTTTTTCCGAGTAGATGTTTTATGCTAGTTGTTAGATAGGAGGTAAGGACCACAGTAGTTATGTGAGTGCAAATTTTATTATGTTTTTTGAGTGTTATATATGTTGTTTTATGTTTTCCCGCCCTATAAGGGCATAGTTGTCTCTGTACTATTCTATTATTTTAGTATAAATAATAAGTGAAGGGGGCGGCCAGATCATTGCTCTCTTTTCTTTTCAACTTCTCTTCTTCTCTTCTTCTCCTTCTCTCCTCCTTCTCTCTTCAAGAAACTATTTTCTTTCATATTTTTTAATTCAGCAAATTCCTACCCTTTGTATAATTTGCTTTATGAGTTCAAGATTTTTTGAACTACCACTTTAGGCTTGAGAGTCTTGAACCAGGAATTATTAGAGAATGACCCACTTGAGAAAAGTACACACATTTCTTTGTTTGAGGGAGGTGCCCTCCTAAGCTTAACACAGTACCTCAAGTTAATCCTTCCAAGCCCCTACCCCTAGCTACAAATCCTATCATTATATTTATCTCTTTCTATTCATTGTCTACCCTTCTATATTTAAATTGTACATTTACAATTTCAGAGAAGCTCAAGTATCACCATTATATGGTAAACATAAATATATCTATACTGAATGAAAGAAATTAATTTCAAAATTATAATTATTCATTTTCTTTCTAAATGGGAGACACCACTAATCAATGGTCAAGTTACTCTTTCAAAAGGAAATGGTTTTGTTAGTTGGGTTGGTAAGTAAGTTTCCCCAAAAAATGTATGACAAATCCTAGTTGGCAAATCAAAAAGTAATATCCCTATTCCTTTCCCCACCCTTCACTAGTAGTAAGAATTTCAACTCAAACAAACCTTACTATGGGTTGAAACTTCAAAATAGTGCTGCTTTCATAGGCAACTTTTATGCTAAAAAACATCGATTAGGAAAATGTACAAAACAAGGTTCGATAGAGGAGTGGAGAAAAGTTTTCCTTTTTTCAATGTAAGCAATGTTAGAAGTAGCCTTAGATCAATAACCAACCAGAAGCCATTTATCTCATAATACAATAGAGGCAAATTTCATGTATAGGATATGTGCATAAAGGGGACTTAGTAAAAATATACTAGGTGATGATTTAAGACTAGGAGAAATCTATGATGCTGAAAAGACGTGATACTCTCTATAAGCAATGTTTAGTTAGAAAATAAGAGAGAAACAGAAGTTGAGGAAAAGTTCTTAAAGAGATATTGTGAAATTCCTTAGAGCCTTCCCCATTTTCTGCTACTCTCTTATTTTCTATCAAATCAAGCACAACCTATGCGTCCAAGGTAAATGTGCCAAGAACCTAAGGGTTAAGGGGGATGGCAATTGACAAATACAAAAAATAAATAAATAAATAAAAAGATGTAGTTTATGAATACAAGTACATTACAACTAGAAGCAAGAAGTACACAAGAAAACTTTGGCAAGCTGTTGGGAACATTCTTTAGCCACGACAGGCCAACCCATTCAGTCCCTTGTCTCTTTGGTCAAAAGAATATTAAAGGCAACTACTCTTTTTCCCCACACCCATGTCTATGTATTTATATATAAATGTGTTCATCCTCACTCCTCTCCATCACCAAAACTAATTCTAATTCACTTCACTACTTTCTTTTAATTTAGTTTCTTCTCTTCCACAGTTCCACCATGGCTGCAGATGTATTCTAGTTATTCTAGTTCTCTTCACATCTCCCCTTGCTTGTTTTTATTAACAGTCACCTATTTTCATCACTTGCCAAACTTTTGTATAGAAAGGCTAGTTATCCCTTTTACATCATGGGAATGAAGAGGTTTTTTATATATTGGCTGCGTTTACCATGTGTAAGATTCATACACATACACATGAACCAATAATTCAATGTTCCTATAACTATTTTTTATGAGATAAGATAATTTCATTTAATAGAAACAATAAATAATGTGAGAGATGACAAGGATTTCCAGTTGAAGACAGCTACTCTCAAATCCCCTCAAGTTAAAAGGTGAAAATAGTCAATGTTCCCGAGAAGAAAGATTGGTGATTCATTCTTGACTAGTGCAGAACAAGTTTAAGTTCCAGGTTTGAGATATAAATATATACAGTAACAGATGAGACATTAGATGAACCATTCAGCATAATGGTCATACCATTATATGTAAAACATCTAGAAATCTAGAGTTACCTTTGTTCCAAACATAGCTATCTTTCAACTTTATTTCACAATGGCCAACACATCTGCAATTTCCTTGCGTGGATCATTCAAGCAGCAACAGCTTCAAGCAACTCCTTTTTGGCACGCTCCCTGATCCTATCCAGCTCAGGTCTGAAATGCCTGATGAGTCCCTGCACAGGCCAATCAACAACATCACCCAATACATGCCTGCCCTTCTACCTAATGCTCAAGTAAAACAGAACCTTAAATGAATTTGATCACCAAAAAAGGTTTAGATGGCTTATTCTTTATAAAAACAATAGGACCATTAACAAAACAAAAAACTAATCATTAACAAAAGGGAAAATCAAGTCTTTCTGGCATAAGTTTCTCCAAGTTTTTATAAAAACAATAGGGTTGATTGGTTATAAGTTTCTCCAATATCATGTCTTTCTGGTATCATAGTTGAACCCTTAACAAAATATTAGAATAAACCTACTCTTACTAGTTTTCTAACTATTAACAATATAGTGAAAGTAGTCATTTTGATTTCCATTAACCAAAAAAATATATACTAAGGATTGGTAACATTAGTCTATTCTAATCGAGACATATGAAAATAGAGAGATAAATAAAGGCAAATCCCATAAATAATAAAATGACCTAAATGGGGATTACTCACATTGTTCTATTCTAATTGTTGCTGCAACATATTAAACAAAATGTAGACAAACTGCTTAAACATATTCAACAATTCAGCCGGGTACTATACAAGAAACTAGATAATCACTGAGATTAATTGATTAACTATTAATCAGTACTCCAAATCACATGAATCGGAACATATAAACCATTTGAGACAAATAGAAAAAGCTATTTGCTATTGCCCTTGGTCCTAGTAGGCTAGGAGTCTGGAGCATTAAAGACCTCACATTGGCAATGTCATAGGAGACATCTCGATGATGTACTACTCTTTGAAAGTTGGCCTTGATCAAGTTGCACAGTAAAGAGTCACAACCAACTATGGTCGTAGCTACCAAGCTTTCCCTAGGGTTTTGGGTCACAATAAATGGGAAAGAAGCTCCAACAAGGGAAGTTTATAGTAAAATGGTTTTATTTGAATCAAATCAGCTGCCTAAGTTCGAATGGCGATTGGGGAGTGAAAGCAAAGAAGAAATAGAGGATTGTCTCAATGACTTAGCACTATCGATGGGGACACAGTTACGATCCAAACGGAGATCCTTGAAAGTCCAACCAGAAAATGATGAAGGATGGCCGCTACTACAGGTTTGACAGAAAATATTCAGTGATGGTGCCTCTTCCGGTGAAGACTGCAGAGTCGATAGGGATTAGGGACTACGATTGATGGCTAGAGTTGCTCTTCTAAAGATGCTCAACCGTGAAGAGTGAATGGAATCTCTCTTCCGTGCAAAATTGAAAAAAAAAAAAATCCCTCTCATAAAAAATAAAAATGGCGCCAAAATTAGAGAGATTAGCAACAAAATCAAGAATTGAGGCATAATAAAAGCATGTAGTGGGCTGGGCTGGTCCGTGGGTCGAGCCTTGGGCCAAGTCGGGCTGTGTATCGGACCAAAGCTATTTATTTAAAAAAATTGACAAAAAAACTTACAATTTTAATTTTATATGAATTTTGTGTATAAAATTGCTTATACATGTAATAATTAAATAAATTAGTATAATATAATTAAAAAAATGTTTATTTTATTAATATATTATATACTATATATTATTATATAATTATAATATATATGGGTCATGCCGAGCTACGGGCTGGGTCGTGCCGGCCCGTGGACCTAAAATCCTAGGCCCAGCATGGCCCGCATGGTCGTGCCGGGCTGGTCCAAGTTCATGTCGGGCTGCGGGCGGCATGGCCCGATTTACACCTCTAGGCATGTCTATGTTTTACAAAAAAAAAGTTGGTAGGGATGGAGATTAATAGAAATCTCCGATTAGAATGGGATCCGACCTTGCTCCAACCCCAATTATATATATTAAATATTATTTATAAAATATATATTATATATTAAATATATTTATAATATTATTCATATTATATATATATTATTTATATTTAAATTTTTTTCTTTATTTTGAGTAAATTTGTTTTCCGAAAAAGTTAAATTAAAAAAATTAAAGATTCGGGTCCTCAATGAGAAATCCATCTTTATCGGGGATTAAGGATGGAGGATAACTTTTGTTATCAAGGTCAGGGATGGGGACTTGTTTCAATGTCAGGTTGGATGGGGAGTATGGTCCCTACTCTAAACCCACCCTGCTGCCCATACTAGACAAGGTGCCTTGGTAATGTATAAAAAACTACCCAAAATAATAAAAAAAACAATTTAAACTCTAAGTGTGAAGTTCAAAAGTTGGGATATAAGTTAAAAAATTTAATAGAAAGCAATTAATTTTATGAATCTAGGACTAGTTCATCAATTCCCAATTGGCTAGTTATTGGCTTATAGTTTTTCACCCTTGGTTTTTTGGAGCTTAACTAAAGAGGTTAGTAGATTGATTCACAATATTTTTTTGGTCCAACTAAATGGTTCATTTCAGTTCTCCAAACACTGTCATTGATATTTCACCATTCATTTGTATATTTAAGCATATTTGAGTGAAGGTATATATATCATGGTTTTAAAAATCAAATCGAACCATACGGTCAACGAATTGGTCAAGAAACTAGTTCTGATTCACCCTAAAATCATTATTGGGTCAAAAATCGTTGATTTGGTTAGCGATCCACTGACCCAAACGATTGAACTATCGACCTGAATAGTTGTTTTTGACCATTTTTTATTTTAATTATTTTGTTTATTTTGTTTTTTTTTTAAATTGAAATGGACCATCTATTCAAATTAGACGGTCATATCATTTGATCTGAGAACTGGTCCCCAAAACCGTTCAGTGTTCAATCTGGTTTTTAAAACCTTGCTATATATCAATGTTTTAGATCATGTTGACTTAGAACTGTCCAACCCAAGAACCAATCAAATTTCTTGTTCCATTTATACCATGGCATAACATTATAGGAAGAAACCATTGAAATGGTCAATAAAAATTCCATTTAGTTGTTCAAACAATCGAGACCTAAACAAAGGTTCATGGTCAGAAGGCAATGGTTCCACCATTTTCATTTTTTTAAACATTGCTATATATATACGATCATTAGTCAAGTTAGATTTGGCTTGAGACAAACTTGACCCTTTGACATCCCTATCCCAATTTAAGCCACCCCAATCAAAATATAAAATAAGTTTAGAGGCATCATCTTTTTGTGGCTTTTATATGATTGATATTGTTATAGTTAATCTCCTCCATTAAAGTGATCTATTGTTCTTAAGGTATGTGTTAGCAATTCTCGAATGTTTCTAAAGGGTTAATGTCATTAATGACAATACCTGTTACTAATACAATGGTTTAGCAACACTGCTTGTCAGTTGTTGCTAAAAGCACAGTGTCTTCAGGGGCAAATCTGCACACAATTAGCAACAGTTAGATAATACCTGTTATTAATACATTGGTTTAGCAAAACTTTTAGTCAGTTGTTGCTAAAAATTACCTTTAACAACAACCATTTATAACTGTAATGTGGTGACTTCTCTTTCTATTCTCATTTTCTCACACATGTGGCTTTCTATTTTCAAATGGAAATATTAAAAAATATAATTCACGATAAAAACTAAAAACCCTCGCAGGTCTTAACTTTCTCTGATAAAATTCATCATTACTCTCTTTGATACGGTCATTTTTAAAGCTCTCTCTCCAGTAGCTTAGAAATGAGTTTCCAAAATCCCCCGCCCCCCCAAGTTGCAAAAACTATATCAATCGCAAGCAATGTTCAAAAAGTAACATGGAAGAATGATAACTTTTTCCTTGTAGTGAAATATCAATTCAACAATCTAAGTTCCATGGGTTAACTTACACCACTGTAAATATAATATTAAAAATAAAAACATATAAAAGAAAAAAAATATAAAAAATTATAGAAAAATTAGGCATGCCTCTAGTATTATATGCTCATCGTATTAAACAAAACATAAGTGGCATAATGAAAATGGTTATTATTAATGATGAAAATGGCTAGACGTATAAAAAAGAATAAGAAAATTAATGTCTAATCCATGAGACAATGAACAAGGTCCACCAGTTAGCAATTCAAATAGTTGGATCATTGAGCTGTTGACCAAGTCAATGTTTCTTTCTTTTCTTTTTATTTTTATTTTTTGCAAATAATGGTTAAGGGGCTAAATAGATAAAAAAAAAGTTTGAGGAATGTGTCAATTGGGCTAACTATCTTTTTATAGGTAATGGGCTACACATTAGGAGGTAGCTCTCCCAAAACCATTAAATCCTCTCAACTAGGGTGAATGTAGGACTCAATCCCAAGTCTCTACAACAACCAGGTAAAGACTTTACTAGCAAGCTAGCTAGCTCCTTATACCAATTATCCAATTCAACCATTGGTTAAAAAATATTTCTATAGAGGATATATATCTCTAAGTGCTCGTCCAATATCTAATTATTCATCCAATAAATATCATATCAAACATCAATATAGTAGCCAAGTATTAGAATATCATAGTGCACAAGTTAGTATCTCCAAGAAAACCACACCTACAAGCTGTTTTGATTATTGAAAGATATTTATAGAATTATGACACAACCAATGTCAAGTGGCTCAATTGATAGGTATTTTTGCTAGTTGTAATGGGACCTAGGATTCAATCCCACTACCACCAAGGTTGGGGTTAAGGGTTTAAGGGACGGACTACCCCCCATTGTGTAGTCCTATAAAGCAAGTTAAAAGACAATTCCAAAATTGAATTAACAAAGATAACTAAAGGCTTAAGGCTCACATTAAGTGCTTTTGGAATGCATTTTATTATTGAACCTGAACAATCCATGAAAAAAAGAACTACATTAAATTAATAAAAAAAGAGAGAAAATTCTAATAACCAATGGAAAGGAAAAATAGTTTCTTTGGACTTTTATAGATGAAAAAGACTAGTTCACCCCATGTATTGGATGGGCAAATTTGGGTCCAAGCTAGGTTTCATATGTAGAGTTGGCCCTTACCCTAACTCAATCCATTTAATGTACTCTCATACTTTATTAAAGAGAGTCAAAAGAGATCAATAGAGATTTAAGACAAAATGGGGGATTTAATGGGGAGGGAAGATGTTACAAACATTGATTATTAAGGTGGGTAAAGGGGGGNGGGGGAGAGAGAGAGATTTAAGAATGATCTTATTAATTAGAGAGTGAATATGGATTTTATGAGAGCCAATGAAGACCCATAAGGATTTTAATTTTTACTTGTTATATTTTTAATGATTTAATTTAAGAGTAAATATGCACATGCGTGACAAAGCAAAGAAAGAGGTACGTGTTAGCTCTATGGTGAGAGGACCCCTTACTAGCCCTCTTTCCTCTTTCCATTATACTAGTGGGGCCATGCATTGCATGGGAAAACCCAAATCCAATATGATAACAAAACGGATTAAAATAAAATGAAAATTTTACATCATTTGTCCATTGCAACACAAAGTACCATATGTACAAAAAATAGATGAAATGTTTTCAATAACGTATGTAATGGATACAAAAGTTGAATATCCATTTCCAAAAAGCATATACACCCCACAGCTAGAGAATGTAGGTGACAAACGGAAATGAAAAAAAAAAAAAAAACTTTAAAGAGCATGTTTTGTGGCTTATACCATTAAAAAAATAATAGGTAAAATACAAAAACCTTCCTTGAAATTTTTGACAATCATAAAAGCCTCCAATAGATTTTTAAAGAATGTGACAAAAACCTCCATTCCGTCAATAATCAAGATGAAAAACATCAATAGTTACAAAATTACCCGTGTCATTTAATGATTTTGTAAAGTACCATATTTGTCCTAATCGAGCGACAAAAAGAGTTCTATTCTATTCGTTAGGGGAAAGAAAGAAAGTGATGCGAAAGAACAAAAAAGTGGGCTGGGTTTTCAGATATTTGATCTTGTCCAATGTTTTTCCTAGCCCCACAACTGTTATTTTTGGTACCAAGTCATTTCAGTCAATATGGACCAACCAATTCCATAAAAAATCCATGTTTGAATGAACCTGGTGCTCTCTTAACTGGAGTTGCCTTTGTCTCCAATGTCGCTTGAGCAGAATCAATCGGTGCACTCAAATCTTTTGCTATAAAATTAATACGCATCGTGAAATTGGAAAATCAATGCAAGGAAAAAAAAAGCAGGGCAGAGAGAAAAGACTATTCAACTAGTAGAGGGGAAAAATGCATGCAATTGCTTTGTTACGAATAAACTGTAGGCTGTAGAAATTATGCAAATGAATTAAAGTATGGAGGCTACCTTCAGCATCGGGCTTCGAATCAATCTTAGGAGTTGTGGGCTCAGCCAATCTAGACCAACCAATTCGGTCAAAAATCTCACGAA